CAGAACAAAGTTGACTTGTACATTGAGGAGTTTGAGGGTCAGTGAGTATAAATTGATACCAGTACAGTGTAATTACACTCTAGAGGTTTCGGTTTTTTCATTTTTTCCGATTCGGCCTATTTTTTCGACATCTACTCGAAAACAAAAATTAGTAGCTATTACTAATTTAACGGGCATAAAGCAAACTGATAAGGGGGAATGGAAAACCATTTCACATTTATTTGTCAAATATGTACGCCACAAAGTTTGTAATTAGGTTGCGGTATGCACATCTAAGTGCAAACTAAATCCACATTCTTTCTTTTTGGTACCACCTTTTCTAGGTGTATTAACATTACATTCTCCACATCACTTTCTCTTTGTGGTGTGGCCCTGGCATCCCTATCCTGTAAAAAAAGAAAAAAGATGCAAATTTGCAAGCTCTAAACTAGAAATGCTGACTGAAACGTTAGCGACCTCAAAACATATAAAAAAAAAATCAAAATGATATGCAATTTCTTTAGCTTCTGCAGCACTCAATGCTTTCAGAAAGCAGCTTATTTGGTTCTTTCTTTAAAAAATTCTTTTGGTACCTTTCTTTCGTCTGAAACAAACCTTTTTCAGTTGATAAAAGCACCGGTGCGGGGTACAGATCGAAAGCAGCTGCCGCTGCAGCATTTGGCTGTGACTCGTATTCTCTTCAAATGAACGTGAATCCCAGCTGGAAACTGATGTAGCACTTATGTCTAATCTGTGCCCTGCACCGACTCCAGATTGTGTTGTATGGCAAGAGCATGTACAGGAGGCAAGGGAAAAGCCTGGGAAAGAACGGGGAGACACCAAGTAAGAGGATTAATGCTGGGGTGTGCGACCGCAAGAGATGTAAACTTCTTTATCCACTCTCGCTCCAGTGCTACCTTTGGCAGGGCAGGGCGTCGTCTTAGCACAAATAATATAATATGTCAGGTACTTTTCGAATGTCTTGACAATGTCAGTGGTCTGGAACTAACAATGAAAAGATATCTAATCGCCTCCGTGTCGCTGCACCATCTTGTCCGGCGAGACAGCTATATAAAGGACGCTACGAGAATAAATGGAGGTAGCTTCCGCTCGAGAGAGACGTGTGTGTCGAAAGTTCTTACTGCTATGCCCCTACCACGACACGGTGACAAACGGCAGTTGAAGTTTTGCCACCTCGCATACAAAGGTTTCACATGAGACTCATGCGGTATCGGTGCAAGGTCGTGTTTGTTCTGGGCAAACTAATTGCCATGGCAGACGCCTTCTCCCATGCCCCGCTGATAGAGAAAAGCATAAGCAATATCCTGTCAGTAGCGGAAGTCTTATCCGAAAAGTGCAGTGTACAATCACTGACTGCTCTTTTTAGAGAAGAAATTTAAATTTATTGCATCAGCACTTCAAGAACCAGCATATACGCTACACGTTCTTCGAATAAACTTCAGTTCTTAGCAGCACCTTGTTTGTCTACTTCCATCGTCCTTGTGCTTCGCATTTTAGATTAAAAGTATGTACAAACTAGCCAACATACCCATTCTACTGTGGCCGAGGCCGCCGTGCAACGATTTCCGGACTCCGGTCAAACATTTGTAGAAGTTGCCCTCTGACACTTGTGAAGTAAAGAACAGAAAACCGATTTCGCCTGTGTGTCCTAGTTGTGTAAAAAAAAAAAAGATAAATATTGGCATTTTTGGCACCCCTCAACTCACTCCATCTTCAGGGTCCCACCTGGTGACGTAATTAGGGGTGCCGTGTAGCTTCCGGAGTATTCTCTCGGAGGACGCCTACTCTCCCTCTCTTTGGTGGCATTAGCAGGTGTTATGCTACAGCTTAGAGCCGAGCGAGGTCACGCAATCTTTTCACTATAGTTCCCTTGGCTGCCACGCACGGCTGCAGGTGGGGGGAAAAGCTAGAGTTTTGCTTTGCGATTATGCATCGCAACATTTTTTTTAATGAAGGAGATGTTTTTTTTATCCTCGGGGACACGATAAACAATGTAAAAATGATGAGATTCAAATTATTTTAATCTTAAAATCGTTGCACCCACTTGCCAGGACCAACTAGACGACAACATGTGCGTGGATGTGTTGCACGAAAGTTTGATATTTTTTTTTTGCAGGTATGCTGCACGTCAGCGGTCTTTACGAGAAGATGGAGGCACTCTGCCAGGACCAGTCGTACGTCATTTATGGTGACCCTGCATACCCCCTCAGACGTCACCTCCTCAAGCCGTATGGAGGGGCCACGCTCCAGCAGCCACAAGTTGATTTTAATAAGGCTATGAGCTCTGTGCGTCAAGCTGTCGAGTGGGGCTTCGGTAAAGTGGTCACAGAGTTTGCTTTTGTAGACTTCAAAAAAAAAATCAAAAAATGCTTCTGCAGCGGGTGCCGCAGATGTATAAAGTTGCAACCCTCCTCGCCAACTGCCATACATGCTTGTATGGCAGTCAGGTCACGTCATATTTTCATGTTGACGCACCTTCACTGGAGGAATACCTGCAGCCTAGAGGGAGAATGTAATCTATCTTGGCAGTTAAGTTATAAACAGGTCTTCAAACTTTAATGTCATTATTGTCATCCAATTCTGCCCGTTTAATTGCTTCGAAGGTACCAGGTTAAAGTTGTACTATACTAACATAGCACCGGTCGGAGAAGCGGTTTATGGTTGGTTAACTTTCCGCTGCATGTACCTTCATACAACAGATAAAACTTTCCAGATATTTGCACTTTTCACATTCCTGCTTCCTGTACTTCGTGCTGCCTGAACCTTCATATAACTGACACAACTTTTTCACTTTTCACAATCCTGCTTCTTGTAGATAGGAAGCAGGATTGTGGAATGTGCAAGTCTAGGAAGCAGAATTGTAAAAATTTCTGAAGAGTTTTATCTGTTGCATGAAGGTTCAGGCAGTGGGAAGTTAACCCACCATAAACTGCTTCTCCGAACGGAGCCATGCTAGTAGAGTACAGCTACATGCATCTTCGATGTATGTAGCTAAACAGGTAGCTTTTGATGTCAATAATGGCAATAAAATTTTGAAGACTTTTTTATAATATCTGTAGAAAGAAAAAGTGCTAAACTCTGGTTGGAGTGGTCAGTCGTTTATGAAGTTCTAACTGTGTTTGCAGTTTGTATGCTATGAAATGTGATGATCGTGGAAAGGATATTCGGTTTTTCTTATTTACTGAAAAGCATGTCATTATTTAACATCTTGGTCATGCTGCATGTAGGCTGGGCGTGAGCCTGCAGCATCACTGTCGGTATACTATTTCTGTGTTGGTGCAATATATAAATAACACTCGTTAAATAAAGACTGATAGCGCAACGATTTCAACCAATAAGCACTATAAAAAATAACTATAGCCTTGGTTGTTCCCATTTGTCCAATGTGTGATATTGCAGGCTGGTGATAAGTTATAACTAGGGTTCGGAGTTTTCGGTTTAAACCGATAAAAGTATGCCGCATCCATTGTCGGAAATTCGGTTTTAACCAAAAAAGCTCAGTTTTTAGGTTCGGCATTTTCAATTTAAACCAATAAAAGTTTGTCGAGTCCATTTTTTAAAATTCAGTTTTAACCGAAAAAGGTCACTTTGACCTTCCAGTCGTACAGCTGAGCTGTGGCGAAAAAGTGGAACGACAGTGTCTATCGAAACATGTCCGAATGTACGGAACACACAGATGAAATCACTACGTTTTGGTTTAATCTGTGCATCATCGATTGGAAAGTGAAATCTGAAATGCCCCACGACTTCGCCATGTACGAGCGTGTTTTCAAGCCCGTTGTAAGGAAGACGGACTTGATGCAAGCTCTGCATGTTGTGTTCAGCTTTAAAACATCGCATCATGTCTCTTTCGGCGGTCACAATTGGCTGATTGGCCGATGTTGGCTCAGGCAGCGCCTCATTTCCTCAGCCTGTCAGTGTCCAGTGTTAGGGTTGAGAGGGAATTCTCGAAGCCCAGGGTCATATTAACAGGAAAGAAAGAATGCGGATCAAGGAGGAGAACCTGGGCAAGTACAGTTCGCTGCAATATGAAGGACCCACTGGACTGGGCGGTGGCTGGCGTAGGCGCTGCAAGCGCTCTGGGCAATTCCATTCTGCATCGAAAGGAGGACGCTCACTCGGGGCTCAGCACAAACTGATAAGCGCGTTGCGCTTTAGCTGAGCCCCGAGTGAGCGTCCTCCCCTCGAAACAGAATGGAATTGTCCGAAGCGCTCGCAGCGCCCCCGCCAGCCACCGCCTCGGACACACGCTCCCAGTGGGTCTTTCATATTGCAGTGCACTGTACATGTGTGTGTACTGTAATGAAATCACGTAATCCTGATGTACAGAAGGTGAAGTTCTATCTTTATTGCGCATAGGCTTCATATCTGACTTGTTTGTACTTCTAGGTTTTTTTCTTGTTTCTTTTAGTTTCACAGATTTGCCAAATGAAGTGTCATTTCTTTTTCAATGTATCTGTGCCGTTACTATGAGTGATCACAAATATCAGAGCTACGTACAAGGATCATCTGATCCGGTGTCCGTTAGTGTTTATTTTATATTCACCGAAAACAGCCGATAAACTTTTGTGGGCATAAATATATGCCTAAAAGAAACGAAAATTGTATCTGAAAATAAACACCGAAAAAGGTATGCCGAATTTTGAAAAAAATAGAAACCGAAAACGCTGAACCCTAGTGATAACCAGTTATGTATTTAGAAAATGTGATCTTACTTAGTCATACATGCTGAGGATGCTATCTTGTAGTAGCTGTTTGTTTTCTCACAGCTGTGATAAAAAGGAGTGAATTATATATATTTCAGTGTAGTTCAGTGTGATGGTGAGTGCAAAGGAGTGAATTAAATATATATTGCAGTGTAGTTCAGTGTGATGGTGAGTGCAATAATAAAGTGATCTTGTATAATTTTTTTTGTCAATGAGTACAATGTCGTGTTAAGGCACATATTTATGTTTAGCGTACTGTGTTCCAATTCAGGCTTCATTTTTAGCAGCCTGTAATACTTTAAATCTCCAACTTTACTTCTGAATTTGTCTAGTCAGGAGCTGAATTTGCAGCTCCTGCTGAGCAATCAGCAACCGCCTTTCTTCTGTTGCTGCCCTCCTTTCCTCCATCTGAATCTTTCGCTCTTCTGCCTGGAACTGCCGCTCCTCGGCCTGTGCCCGCCTTTCTTCCGCCAGAGCCTGCCGTGCTTCAGCGCGGTCCTTTGCATCTTCTTGGTACTTGAGTTGCTCCAACGACATTTGCATCTCTCTCAGCGCCATGTCCCTTTCTTCAAGGGCGAAACGCCTATCTTCTCTTGCGAGTTCCTGCTCTGACCGGCGCTCAAGAAAGTCCATCTCGGACGATTGCTGCCTTCTTTTTCCTGTGTTAAAAAATACTGTGTCAACAATATGATACAGGGGTATATTCTACTGTGTAGTTGTCACTGCTTTGCGATGCCACCAGAAATGCCATTTCTAAGCTGGAGGTAGAAAGCCTGGCTTTGTATCTTCAGTTTTTTATTGCTATTGCTAGTTTAACAAGCAATATGGGAAGGTATGCTAGCCAATGACATGTATAAGTGGCTTTTTGGTCCCTTTCATGATACTAAAGCTACTGGTGACATTACGCACTGTAATTTGAACTCTGTTTCCTCACTTACGCCTGGCACCTGAAGATCTGGACGCCGGTGTAGGTGGCACGTTCTCATCAGTACCTGCACCATTTGGGGCATTATCAGGGCTCCTGACAGGCTGGGAGGGGGCTACGAAGTCCTCTTCTTCCTCTCTCTCTGGATTTTCCATGTAAGCCTGCATGAGGAGGTTCAGTGCTGGCGAACCCTCCTCACCAAGATCTGGGGATGCTAGAAAGAAAACAGTAAAATGAAATAAATCTGTAGCATTTCTGCTTCATATTTTATATAGCCGGCCAAGTAAGGCTGCCTCTCGGCCACTCAGGAGAGGTGTTGTAAGGCGAGGGATTAAAATATATTTGAGTATCTCGGCTGTATAGGCTGGTAAATAACTGAAGAAGGAGCGAGCAAGAGTGAAGTGGGAGCTCAAGCATTTTGCTGGGACTGCCTCTCCCCCCTCCCCATCATACAGCATTTTGTCATGGGCAGGCGCCCCCCCCCCCCCCCCTTGAAATAAAATCTTGGCTACGTGCCTATTGTGTCGTCCTCATCCAAATGGCTTCCCAGAAACCTCAGTGTGACCATTAATAGTTTGCTAAGAGGCTTTGCTTCTTCACCACCTTTTCAGGAAACGTTGGCTGCCATCCAGAAGCTTCTAGGAGAAGTACTTTCTTAACCCCATTTGTGTTATGTTTGCACCTGCTTCATTCTGCTAAAGTTCACTCTCTGAAATGCGTAACTAAGTAAAGACAGGAATGAGTTGCAATCAACTTTCATTTCCTGCTAGAATAAGGTGTGTTATTACCATACTGTTCTGGTTCTTCATCTGCATCGACCGTCGACACTGACGGCACTGGCAAGGGGGCGGTGCGGGCCACGGCTGCATCCCTTGCTGCCTTTGCTGCTCGCACCTGGGCAGCAGCTGAAGATTGTGGCCTGCGCTTGCAGGCGGCTGCTCCTGAGCGCCCCTTCCTTGGTGCAGTCTTCGGTCTATGTCCAAACTCCCGTGCAAGGTCAAATATCTCCTGGAGCAGCCGGTCTTTTTCTGCATACTGCTCCTCCGTCCCAGACCTAATGAAATGGATGATTTAAAATATTGATTTCTTCTGTGTTACTCAGCATTGTCACTCTCACTGTACTGGGTTGAATCACTAAAGAATAATCCGCACAAAAAAAATGAAACTCTCAGCTAAGTAAAGCTGATTCCGTCAGCTATTTACCCCGACAATAATGGAACTTAGGAGTGATTGGGTTTCATTTGGGTGTAATAAAATTCTTGAAAATATCTATCAAATGTCTATTCAGTGAGCCCACATTTGTTGAAGGAATGCAATGCATAAGAAATCTTAAGTTTAACATCAAGATTTCTTATGCATTGAATTGAATGATGCTTGTGCCTTCCATGGAGGAACATGCCCCATGTTCAAAATCTCTCAAGAAAGCATAATTGTACGATTTGTGTACCCTCCTACTCCCCTTTTCTTTTTAGATAGCTTACACTTCTTGATTCCAATTCATATTTTAGTTGCATCTGGTGCATTTGATCATTAAAATTCAACCAAAGTTAAGATGCAGGCTATGTCGCTCACAGGGTATTAGGAAAGCTGACACCCTTGTCATAGTACTGAACAAATATAAACGGTTGCCCGTGCTTGCCTGCATGTAGGGAAGTGGGTGATATGATGAAAACATTTGCTACAAGTTAGGCAGCTCTCTCATTCGATCTTTTTATGTGCTCTTCCTTACAGCTGGGTTACCCAAAACCATGCCGCACTTTTCCAGCCGGGCTTGGTGGTCTATGCTCTGAAATATTTGCGAGGAAGGCTTTTCTTACGCGCGAACGGCCCGCGCGAACGGCACGCGCGTACACGTGTAATCCGGCGCCCATGCCGACACACACAGGCCCGCCGCACGCACTAACGCAAGCGCACACGCAAGCGCACAGGCACCTTCTAGCGTGCACTGAAAAGGAGAGACAAAAATGCAACACTTACTTTCGCAAATTGGCTGTGTCCTGTTGTCGGAAGTAGCCCAGCAGCAGGTCCACACGGTCCCGGATTGCCCGAATTGTGAAGACCCGTGTTAGGGCCACTAGAAGATTGCTATAGACAAGAGTCCAGCCTTCGGGTGACGCAAAAGGGTTCGCAGCTCGAACCTCGCGGAGAAGGCAGAGGTCTTCGTCGACTGTGAACCGCAGCCTCTGGGTTGCCGGCATGGTCCGTTGTTTCGCGGGGGCATCGGACGCAGCCATCTTGTCGTGGAGAGCGGAAGAGCGGAACTGGCTTCCCACCCCGCTCTGCGCCGTCGAGAGCGGAACGTACGCTCCCTGCGGTAACTACGCTCAAACTCAGAGCGGGCCGCGCATGCGCAGTGGCGACTCCGCTCTCCGCAGAGCGGACCGGGCGCACGAAAACGGTCTACTATAACTCTCTAATAACTCTAATGTCCGCTCAAGCTGTAGTATCCCCCTCGAAAAGGCTTCAACGTCCCGTGCACATCAAGCGCGCACGACCTGTCAAAGCACGGTGGAAGGCATAAAGCGCGTGCTGAAGGCTGGATGTTTGCGAGCCACGCCATGCCGTTCTCACCTTGTCAGTGACTATAGTGACATCATTAAAGCGGTACAGAAACGAAAATTGAAATATTCGAATTTCGTTCGGGAATAAGTCAAGGACAGCGGATAATGCCAGTAAATAATAATCGCACGTTTGTATTTTGAACGACTTGATATATTTTTCGTTCCGAACGGGGTACTCGAGCAAGCGCTCCAAGAGAAGCGAACGGAGAGCGTGATGCGTCATGGGATATCCGGCGCAAACAAAAACAGAAACAAAGGATTCCCCGCATTTGTGACATAGCAAGGCTGGCGTGGTTATGAGCTTTGCCCTTGGTTGGGGTTGTCAGCGTTGTGGTGCAGACTTTTTCGTAGTTCAACTACTCTACTCAAACTACTGTAGTTTAATTACTTTTCCGAGTAACTTGGTAACTTTCAATTACAATGTGATTTGGGTAATTAGTAGTTTAATTTAACTACTTTTTTCAGGTAACTTCTACTCAAATTACTAACTACTTTCAATATCTAGTGCTCATTTTGCTCGTCACGAAAGTTTGAGCGCAGAAATAAATAAGACGCCGGCAGATGAAGTGGCATTCCCGAAAAAGGGGCCTCCTCACATTCCGTTCCCCCCGCACTTATACTCGGCAACCGTGCAAACTGCATCAAGGGCGTCGTTGGGCCAAGGTGGCGACGAGCAGCCAAAACATGACACCGGCGCGCACGAACGCAGGAAGGGTTGTTTAATAAGCCTTGGTCAGGTATTGACCTAATCCGGTAATGCACGCAGGCGCCGCGCCTCGGACTGCAACCGTGAAAGACGAGGAGTTGCTGTTGTTTTCATGTTGTCTGCCTTTATTGAGTTCTGCCTCAAGCGGTTTGGGGGTTCCACGGGGGGGGGGGGGGGGGGGGGGGGGCGCCATTGGAATGACCCCGCAGCTGGGCGCGTGTTCCCATGGTCGCTCGTCGTCAGTGCATACGCGTTTGCAAAGCCGGACTCCCCCGCACACAAACCCAGACACGAATAATCCGTCCATGGGAGCACGTTCCCTCTTCCAGCTGCAACTGTACGAGCACGATGCTTGTTCACGTAATCCTTCGCGTCCTTCCGACCTTCCATGCCAGGGAAACCTTGCATAGCATTTTTTTTTTCTTTTTTTTAATTGAACGCTGCCGTTCCTTCCAGCGTGTCGGTGGAACGTCTTTTTAGCTTGGCTGAGGATGTCCTTAGGATGAAAAGGGGAAACCTCTCCTATCAAGAACTTTGAAAGTCAATTGATTCTTCGAGCGAATAAACTATTTTGGTAAAAACGTAAGCCCTAAAATGACTGCATTTATTTTAGGCTCGCAGGGTTTTTCACGAATCAAAACTGCTGTTCTTTTTTCTACCACAAAAGTATAAAAAAGTAACTTCTAAAGTAACTTTCCAAGTAACTCGCCACTTTTTCCAGTAGTTAGTAGTTTACTCAATTACTATTATAAATGCGTAATTTCTACTCTACTCTAATTACTTTTGGCGTCGATACTCAGTAACTTAACCTAACTACCTTTTTTGAGTAATTTGTACATGTCTGTTGTGGTGGTGTCAATACACCTTTCCAAAAAAACACTCGACCCCAGGGGCAACAAACCGTTTTCGAGCTGCAGTCACTGAGTTTGAGGCTAGACTCTCACCGTCGTCCCTCCTAACCCTAACCGAGTGGACTGTAATTTCAATAGGCGCAGCCTGCGTTGGCGCAGTTTCAAACGCTGCTGGCGGCTAAATTTCCAAGTTTCCGGCTATATCTTGTGTTTCATGGTACATGTATTTCCCAGAGGACATTGAGAAAGCATTGTACCACACTTGGAAAAATAAGAAAAGCAAAAAAGAAATTGTAAACTATTTTTGTTGGGTACGCGCGCGACAGAACGAATGCGACTGGAATGTATAGTTCTAGTTATTTGTGTTTTTTTTCTTGCAATAAGTTTTGACGGCGCCGCGGGATTCACCCCATGTGAAAGGACCCAAAGCGCTTTGCTGTCAAAAATAAATTCCAACAGAAGAGGGCCAATAGGCATGCATTTTTAACGCTCAGAAATAACGTGTTAACCAATGGACAGGACACGGACATACAATTGAGGAGGTGTTAACATTCGAACAATACATCGTACCAGAGCCTTTGATACTGAGAGAGTTCGGCGGATGGAGGGGCTTACGGCCTGTTAGGTTTAGCGAATTCCACGAGTTCCGCTCCTGCCATGATGTGCCTCCCGGCAAGTGGGTCCCCATTGGCGTGCAATGCATACGCGTGTAGGTTTTGACATTTGCGCTTTTGTTGCCGTGAGGAGAAAGTCGGAAAACAACCATTTTGTGAATTGGTGCGTTATTCATGTAAAAATTAGCAAACAAACCGCCCATCTACGAACGGCACTCTCCTGTAAATGGGGAATCGCTCAAAAACGCCCGGCGTCCGACACAGCTCAGCGGCCTTGTGCGCATTTTTCAGTCGGTAAGCTCGATTGCCTGGATCGCTCCCCGACTGTTTACCACATCACAAGGTTTGTGCACCGTTGTGCGGAATACGGCGGACCGATCGTGATGTAAAAAAAAAAAAACCCAAAAGACCTACCGGTCTTTTGGGTTTTTTTTTTTTTTTCTGACATTCTTTGGTTTGCTGTGAAGAAGCAGCGTCGGCATCGCGTTGTGCTTGAGCTTTTTGGAATCCAAAACCGCTTTCGAATTCACTGTCTGCGAAGTGCACCAAAAAAAAAAAGGCATGGCAAGTAAGTATTTACTACGCGTATTAAAAAAAAAAAAAATAAAGATATCGCTAGTGAAACAAAAGCGTTTGCGAGACGGCAAAGCGAAGTTTCGAGGCCGCTTCTAAAACCTCGAGCGTAGAGAAAGCTACGAGAGCGAGCTGCATGCTTTGAACGTGCCGACGGAGCGCGTGCGCTCGTACAGTGCACGCGTCGTTCAGCGCGACGTGCAGGCGCTTGCAGCGATCGGCTCCGCTCTCACTTACACTGAAATACAGTATATACACAGTTCAAAGGTCGCAAGCTAGGGCGCTCCCAAGTATCTGGTCTTGCGCGCAGGAAACGGCTTTGTGATGAACGGACATTCACCTGACGCTGCCGCGTCAAGTCGCTGCACATGCAGTTTTAGTTGAAATAGAACGCGTTTAACTCACAAAAAAAAATTAATTATAATATTGCCTCACATCATCGAGAACTCGATGTCGGCTTCCACTTAGCCCTCTTCGTTTTGGCCTCCCGGATCTTGTGCCTCTCACGGTTTTCTGTTTCTTTTGCCGGAACCGGTACATCCTGAACCTCTTTTTCGTGGTGTTCGAGCACCCAACGGCACTACAGCACCCCCCAGCACCCCATTACGTTTTCTTCTAACGTCTCGCGGAGCGCAGTACAATCGTTTTCACCGACGTCTCTCGCTCCACGCTAGTCAGACGGTTGCCGGCTCGAGACGACAGGGCACACCATGGCGGACGACGAGACTCGGAATCCAATGCGCACAGTTGCCAGACTGTACGATCAGTGCTGCCAGACTGGCGGCTGGATCAATAGACCGCCGAACTCTCCCAGTATAAAAGGCTATGCATCCTACGTACGGCACGATGCAGCGTTATTTGAAAAAAAAAATATTTGAGTAAGATCTCAAATAACACAGTCACAGTCGACGACAGTCACATCTTGACGATCGGGCAAAATCCGAGATGACTTCGTTTTGGGGCACGTTTTGGGGAGAGCTTCCTTTTTTCACAACCGCACCAAGGCGAATGAACGAACGCGAGTGACCCGCTTCCCACCCCAACCCGGAAGACTATTTGTGGAGAGGACTGAGGATTCTACGCGGATTATCTGTAAGAGGAGGAAGAACAACGTTCGCAGAATCGCGTCGAGGGTCGTTCGACATCCTTCACCTCCTTCGTTTCCCGTGAATGTAAAGCAGAAAAACTTGAATGGCGTGCATTTACCAGCCTTATTTCCCACAATTTACGATAACGCAGAAAGGGTACGCAGCACGCATAAAAAAATTAAGTGAAAACTTTCGAGAGGGGCGATAAAACGTCGAATGCAGAACCGCAAAAACGTAGGTAGAGAACCGCGCTGAGCGGGTCTTCACAGTCTAAGAGAGTAGCAGAAAATTTCTAGCTGATAGAGGGCGCGAGAGTCGCACCAGCCGCATTAGCATCAGCAACATGGCGGCGGCCTAGGAGCGTTTTTTGGAAAGGTGTACACCTTTCCAAAAAACGCTCCTATTTGAGATCTTTCTCAAATAATTTTTTTTTTCAACTAACGCTGCATCGTGTGGTACGTACGATGTATTGTTCGAATGTTAACACTTCCTCAATTGTGTGTCCGTGTCCTGTTCATCGGTAAAGACGTTATTTGTGAGCGTGAAAAATGCATGCCTTTCGGCTATTTTCTGCTGTAAATTATTTTTGATAGCTAAGCGCTTTGTCGTTTAACATGCAGCGAATCGCGCGGCGCCGTCAAAACTTATCGTAAAAAACTAGAACTATACATTCCAGTCGCATTCGTTCTGTCGCGCGCTGACCCTACAAAAATAGTTTATAGGATCTTATTGCTTCTTTTTTTTTTTTTAATCTGGTACAATGCTTTTTCAATGACCTTGAAAAAATACATGCTCCAGGAAACACAAAATACAGCGGGAAAAGACGAGACTTCAGCCACCA